AACGGCGCCCCGAGCCCCGTGAACGCCGCACGAATCGGCTCAACCCGCGACGCGGCGCGGCGCGTCTAGATTTTTAAGCCTGCTGCTGCCGCCGTCGCCCAACGCCGATCGATCCGGGTGATGGGGGGGCCCTTCGGTTTTGCAACCCGAGTATACGTAATTAACGAACCATCGACTGTTCAATTATTCATAATCCAATTACCGCCCATTGTCGCGGAGTAATCTTATTTCTATCGGCGGTTTGCTCTTGGCCAACCTTTTCCCTATTCCCTTCGCTGTTTCGCTGCGACTTCTCGTTAGAGTCCGCGTCAACGAACGAAATTATTAGACATCCCCCCTCCCTCCATTCTGAAATTGACGGAATAAGAGGTCAATGTTGCTGTTACGTGAAACAGAATTCTATAGGAGATAGCAGCATTTATCAGCGGTAATATGTAACGACGTTCTTCTCTTTTTTATGTTCGTTCAAGATTTGATTTGATTTAATATTTACAGATAGATTCGTTTTATAAAGAACGCACTTAAAGTTTGTGATAAGTGATAAATAATTAATGTTGTTAGAGCGCAAGATAACGAAAGGTTTGTACATTGTAGCGTTAAATACTTTGAATCGGTTCGTTCAATCGCATTAAGGGGAACGCTATTTTTGTCAATTCAGAGGCCACGTGACATTATTCGAAGACAATTCGGAGGCCACGTGTCACGATTCGAGGGCAATTCAATTCCACGTGCCACTATTCGATGACAATTCGGAGGCCACATGCCACGATTCGACGGTCACATACCTAATTTCTAATTAAAGTAATTTCTCCCTAATTCGCGCTCAGATCGCGCACAAAAATGGACAATTTGGAAAGATGAGATACGATTATTTCTAATTTTTTACCTTGATTCGAAGACAAATCGAAGGCCACGTGCCACAATTCGAAGGCAGTTCGGAGGCCACGTGCCACTATTCGAAAACAATTCAGAGGCCATGTGCCACTATTCGAAGACAATTTGGAGACCACGTGCCATTATTCGAAGGCAATTCGGAGACCACGTGACACGATTCGAAGGCAATTCGAAGGTAATTCGAAGACAATTCAAAGGCAATTCGAAGGCAATTCGACAGCAATTCGGAGGCCACGTGCCACTATTCGAAGGCAATTCGGAGGCCACATGCCACGATTCGACGGTCACGTACCTACTACAGTAATTTCTCCCTAATTCGCGCTCAGATCTCGCACAAAAATAGACAATTTGGAAAGAGGAGATACGATTATTCGAGCCTCGCGTCCCGTTTTCATAGTTGTCGATAATCGGTAACTATAAAAACGAGCCGCAAGGCTCGAATAATCGTGCGCAATCTGAGCGCGAATTAGGGAGAAATCACTGTACCTACCACGTACCTTGTAGCACCGCGGTTTTTCTTACCCGACTCACCTCCAAACAGACCATTTTGTGTCGTCTTCCGGGAATTCGTGTCGCGTGTCGCATCACACGCTCGATCGACTCCGACGACCCTTAGCATCGACGTAGCAATAAATTACACAGGCGCAGGACTAGCACAGGGAAGTTCGCAGCGACCCAAAAGTCGGCATTTCCGGGAGAAATTACTGAAACTCCATTCGTTATTTATCGTTCGTCGTTTCTTATTCGCATCTGACCCTGGACAAGCACGGTCAACGGCAAGCTTACAACCAGGGGGTGGCACAGTAATTGGCACACTTACCTTGGTACGTTGTCGCTCGAATACCGCGTCGTTGTAAAACAACATGGACACTATTCGTTGGACGATATTTGCTATCCAGTTCTGGACAATTTTACCCATTATTTCGTTCTTATTCTGCTCTTTTTGACGCGTTTCATACGGTTATCTTTCGTTTCGATTAGATCGTGAAACGCCGACGTAGCGATAAATTACATAGGCGTAGGACTAGTACAAGGAAGTCCTTGTGGTTCTATTGTTCCGCATTCGTATGACACGTGATCCACCACGGGGCTCTAGTTTCGGCAAAAGTTGCAATATGGTTATATAGTTTTTTTTTTAATTAGCTATTCCTCTCTGTTAACATGATATGACCTGACCATGATCTATTCATAGAGTTTTGCGGGACTGGTTGGTGCAACATCGACGTAGCGATAAATTACATAGACGCAGAAGAAGTTCACAGGGAAGTTCACAGCAATTCGAAATTTGTCATTTCCGGGAGAAATTGCTGCTCCTAAATATGAGACTATTTTATAGAACACCGTCGATTCGAAGAATGAATCGCACGGGATCCAGCGACGATGCCTCTTCGCGTTTCGCGTGTCCCACTTTTCAAAAGCGTAACGATCCATCCTAATTATCCGCGTAGACAAATGATCGTCAAGAACAACGGGACCGGTTCATCGAATGGAACGTGTTCGTCGAGCCTCCGCGTTCCTGCCATTATGACGGTTTCCATGACGATAGAGGATCGAGGAGAATGATCGGGCTCGATCGATGAACACGCGGGGACACCTGCGCGTTTGCACGTGTGTTGTTGTGCACTTGCAGAAAGAGGGGCAGAAAGTTGCCAAGCTGGCTGCGCGACACGATCGATGGGATCCGTCTGGGTGACTCGGGAACACTTTCGCCCGGCGAACACGCGATGTACCGGAAATTGAAAAAGTCCACGTCGATTAGTCCAATTGGACCGAAGACTATTTATTTTTTTCTTTCACTGTTCCCGTTCCCCGCGTCGACCCCGTGACCGATAGAAACTCCTCGATTAGGCGAAACGGCGCGCCGGGAATTTGAAACCGCCGAAAATCGTCGCGCGGCTCTGCCTGGAAAATTGCGCGGATTTCGCGTATATCAAAATTCATGAAGCTTTTTAAGCACCGCCATCCGGCGAAAGCTATTCGAGCAGCTTTTAGAACGCAATCATTTTTTTAAAAGTTAAACCATTCGGTTTCGACGTTTTTGGAATTTCTTTTTCGAGCATTCTGCAATTTCTTCGAAACGTTAGAGGGATTAGTTTACCGTGGAACGACTGAAATATCTTTTTTTTTAATTTTGATATTATTCGGAGCAACAAGAAAAAATTAAAAAAGAATAAAGACTCGATCTTCCAATCGGAATAAAAAAGAATCGTGCGTGTTCGCTTTGTGCAGCGGAACTCGTGAAAGCTGGAATTCCATGAATATAATATAAATATAATATAATAATATATAATATTCCACGAAAAGTACGTCTCTGTTCTCATTAAAATTTGAATCCTTAATTTTCGTTAATGTCTTAGACTTTAGAATTTCCGCTGAAATTGTAGAATACAACGATAACTGGAAGCATCCGCTGAAACACAATAATATGAAAACCGTATTCGGTGACTTGTGAAAAGAGGATTGAATTTGGAATAATGTTTCGAAAATATTGAGCCGGTCGTACGATTCGAGTTTCCAGCAAAAACTGCCGGTGCTCCGGGAATATTAAAAATCAGCACGGTGACCGATTACGACGTCTAGGGAGTTTGCACCCTTTCTTCCAGCTCCGGCGATGAAAGCGTTCATCTTTTTTTTTCCTCCCCCAACCCGGTAAAAGACATGCAAATATTAGGATTACCGTAGGCATATATGAATTTTAAACGTTCTCGGCGACCTCTTGGACCTCCTACCTTCCACCGAGGTCGTTAAGTTAATAACTTTTTATCGAATCACGTGATTTCATGTCCGAAGAATCCGCAAGAGATTTCGCGCGGCATGTGTATATTAAGCTCGCGGAAACCGGCTGAAACTGTGTTTCTTTTCACGGCGAATTAGCGTATCGTGTAAATTTTCCAGAAACAAGGACAAGGTATTGTTGCGAAGCTGTTGCGGTTTTGGAAATTATTCTGCTTTAATTCGCGCCACGATGTTTTCGTTCGCGGTTGTCGTGCGAATAATGTTTAAACAATAGCTCACGCGCGAGATTCTGCAGAAGTTCGTGCACAAATTTATATGAGAATTTATGCAGAAATTTATGCAACAGTGCGTGCGCTATTTTATGCAAAAGTTTGTGCACTATTCGATGCAAATATTTGTGCAAAAATTTGTGTAAAAGTTAGTGCACTATTTGATGCAAAAATTTCTGCAGAAATTTGTGTAAAAGTTTGTGCACTATTTGACAGAAATATTTCTGCAGAAATTTGTGTAAAAGTTCGTGCACTATTTGATGCAAAAATTTGTGTCAAAGTTTGTGCACTATTTGATGCAAAAATTAGTGCAGAAATTTGTGTAAAAGTTAGTGCACTATTTGACGGAAATATTTCTGCAGAAATTCGTGTAAAAGTTCGTGCACTATTTGATGCAAAAATTTGTGTCAAAGTTTGTGCACTATTTGACACAAAAATTTGTGCAGAAATTTGTGTAAAAGTTTGTGCACTATTTGACGCAAAAGTTAGTGCAGAAATTTGTGTCAAAGTTTGTGCACTATTTGACACAAAAATTTGTGCAGAAATTTGTGTAAAAGTTTGTGCACTATTTGACGCAAAAGTTAGTGCAGAAATTTGTGTCAAAGTTTGTGCACTATTTGACGCAAAAATTTCTGCAGAAATTTGTGTAAAAGTTTGTGCACTGCTTGATGCAAATATTTGTGCAGGAATTTGTGTAAAAGTTCGTGCACTACATGATGCTAATATTTGTGCAGAAATTTATGTATAAGCTTATGCACAATAATGCAAAAATTTCTGCCGACATTTGGACAATTTGTTCGTTCACAATTACATTTGGACATTCTGGACAAAAGATGACGAACAATTTCCTGGAAGAACGAAATGATTTCAAAAAAGAAACAGTCGGAGTAAAATGTATACGTAACACAGAGCGTAATACATAAGACATTATTATAGACGATTTCACCGTTCCCACCCCCTCGCCGGCAATCGCCGTTATTTCTGCAGCTTATGAAAGCCGAGGCACACGCCGTCGTCATTACGTAACATGATGGCGGGCTGCCACCAAACGAAAACGCTGTTATCGCGCAGCGTCTCCATTGATTCTTTTTACCTTTCCAGATGGGTAGCCGGCGAATGGAGTATATGCAGCGCAAGCTGCGGGGGAGGATCCCGGACCAGAGCCATTTTCTGCACGGAGGAGAACGGCAATGAGACTACAAAGGTAAATAAGGGGCGGAATGGAGATAATTTAAATACGCGAAATCCCTTTATATTAAATTCCGGGATTTCGGCTCTCGGATACGCGACCCGGTTCCGTACCGTTCCGTTCCGTTCCGTTTCGTTTCGTTCTGCACCATGGAAAACATCGCGTTCTCCTCGGCCTCGTGGCCGCGGCATGGGTAGAAACGAGGAATATCCTCTTATAAATCGCGTCCGAGTCTTATTCTATCGTCCCATAAGAAGATTCGACGCGATTCCCCTGGTAGCTTACTTTTTTACTCGTCGCGGTTCTTCGTGATTTATCGACGCGAATCGAACCGTAGCCACGATCCAGGAGGACCGCTGTAACGGAAATGTAACACGTTGACTATCTGGTATAGCCGATTTTCGAGTGGACAGAAAATCGTCTCTCTTCTTTCGCTTCGTTCAACGCGCGCTCCTATTGGATCCTATTGATGGATCTTCGAAATACAGTTAATGTTTCTCTAAATTGACGCTTAGATTGTCCACGAAAATGGACAATTTTGGGGAGGGGAGATACGATTATTCGTGCCTTGAAGCTCATTTTTATAGTTGTTGAGAAGCGGTAACTATAGAAAACGAGCCGCAAGGCTCGAACAATCGTATCTCCTCTTCCAACATTGTCAAGGTTATGTCAAGGTTACAATAACAAATCAGAATAAGTTGAAAATCAGAATAAATGTCTTATTGTTACTTTTATAAATTAATGTAAAACATCTGTGTTTTTTTTGTGCTGCGTAAATCGAGTGTTAAGCGAACGGAAATCGAAAAGTAAAGTAAATTTTTCCTAAATGGCGCTGCTCAGATTGTGCATAAAAATCGACAATTTGGGAAGAGGAGACACGATTATTCGAGCCTTTTATAGTCACCGATTGTCAACAACTATATAAACGAGCCGCGAGACTCGCATAATCGCATCCCGTGTTTCCAAATTGTCCATTTTTGCTTCCAAGCTGAGCGTCAATTAGTGAGAATTTACTGTACAGTAATGTCTCCCTAATTGACGCTCAGATTGTGCACAAAAAAGGACAATTTGGGAAGAGGGGATACGATAATTGTTGATAACTATAAAAATGAACTATAAAAACGAGCCGCAAGGCTTGCATAATCGCAGCCCCTCTTCCCTTACTTTTATACTTACTTTATACTTTTATACTTTAACAAAAATCGACAATTTGAGAAAAGGAGACATGATTATTCGAGCCTTGCAGAGCTCGTTTTTGTAGTTATTGACAATTCGTAACTATAAAAACGAAACGCAAGGCTCGAATAATCGTATCTCCTCTTCCCAAATTATCCACTTTTGTGTACAATCTGAGCGCCAATTAGAGAAACATTACTGTATCTGGGATCAATATTATTGAATGACACGATTGTCGCTATACGATACACCATTTTACTACAGACTCGGCGATCGTCGTGCGAGGGTTTCAAAAAATCCCTAAAAGAAACAATACAAATTACGATGAAAATCACCGTGTTGAAAAAGAAAATATGAATCGACGGTTAATGATTTAATATCGAGGGGGGGGGAGGAACGAATCGTTGCCGCCAGGTAAAGCGTTGACGATTTCGCTTCGCGTTTTATCAAGCGAACAGCTTCGACAGCTTTTTTCAGTTTCGTTTCGATTTCGGCGCGCCAGCGGTCGGCGCAACGATCATCAAAATATTGGGTTGGCAACTAAGTAATTGCCGATTTCAGTTATAGATGTCTCTCACTCCCATTTTTATGATATCCGTAAATGTTATATTATAAAATTATTATTATTATTATTATTATTATTACTATTGTTATAGTACTATTATTATTATTACTATTATTATAGTATTATTATTATTATTACTATTATTGTAGTATTATTGTTATTATTACTATTGTTATAGTATTATTATTATTACTATTATTATAGTATTATTATTATTATTATTATTATTATTATTATTATGTTATTTTTTATTATCCGCGAATGTTAGCAACTGGACAAATTGAATGCAGCGGTCAAGGAAAAGCGACCAGAATTGGTCAATCCTAAAGGTGTCATTTTCC